ATTGAGAGTGACCAATGATAAACATCTGGGTGTTAGTTATTTAATAGCTAACACCCGAGACATCTCTGTTGGTTCAGCCCACACAATTTTATATGAAAAATTAATGTTAAGTAAATTTTCTGCTCATTAGGTACCAAAACTCTTACGCCAAGATCAGTAACAAATGAGTGAAGCTTTCAATGGAAATTTTAAATAAATGGGATCAAAACCCTGAAGGCTTTCTAAGGCAAATTTACTGATAAGATCCTGAAAACAAACCTCCAGCAAGGCAAAGGTGGGGAGAATTCAAAGCAAAAGTAAACTAATCAAGAGGAAAGGTTATAGCAACAGTTTTCTAGGATGCTGATGACATTTTGCTGTTTAACTTTTTAGGAGTGAAAAAGACAGTAATATATGCTTATCATGAAAGTGTTTTATGAAAATTAACTAAAAAGTCAGCAAAAAAATGGTCCAGGGAAACAAATTTTTACTTTTCTTTTTGGTTTTCCCATAACTTTTTGAATGCCTCTTGTATAATCTCAAATGTAAATTTTATTGGAAAAAAATTGTAGTGTTTAGTTTCAAATTTAAGATACAAGGATTTAATTTTTACATGGGAGCAATTTAAAAAACTTATGGTATTTTACAAAGTAAAGAAGAATGGTATTTGCTTATGCCAATACATGTGGTAAAGGTACCTAAAAGCTCCAACGTCAAAATATTTAATTGTGACCATAAGAATATCTATAGTTGGCAATAGCAAATGATTGCTATATGATGACAAAAATTCAAACTGTCTTGAAATGTGATTGGTACTGTATAGTCATAAAAAGCAATAATTATTAATCAATAAAGAACAAAACTGACTATTTTAGGTATCTTAATCATACATTATAAAACCCATGTTGTGTGTGTGTGTGTCTGTACGTTTATATATTGGATCGGATTTCCTACATTTTTCAACCAATTTCAACAAAACTTCACAGGACTATGTAAAATTACCTTGCGGTGGTTCTGACAGTGCCAAAAATTGGAAAAACAATTGTTTTTGCACAAAATCAATTTGAAAATACGATTAAGAGGAATTGCAAGAATGAAAGGGGGACGACTCATGTCGAGTTATACTTATTATAAAACCCAGGTTGTTTGTGTGTGTGTGTGTGTGTCTGTTCATTTATATATGGGATCGGATTTCCTACATTTTTCAACCAATTTCAACAAAACTTTTTTTTTTTTGCAGCTAGTGTTGCACACTTTTTTCTTTATTTTTACATTCAGAATACTATAAAAATTCCATTTACAAGACAATTGTTTATAATAAAATTCTATTCAATCGGTAGACTCATAACAATTGAAAACAATGTTTTTGTTTGAGTTTGGGTTTGACCAATTTGTAAAAAAAAAAAAAAAATCAAGACATGCGTGTCCATCAACCTTAAACAATAATCTTTGTCAATTTTATTTTTCAGTCTTTATGATGGTCGATACTTGATCTATCTCTTACTGTTACATCCCCGGGCAACGCTGGGCTCTACTGCTAGTGTCCTTTTTGTGAACTGTGAATGATCATAATTATTATTGTAAGGGATACTGGAGTGGTTTCTGGTTGCTTTCTCCAATGTTTTAATTGAAATATCATCTCTAATTGGCCAGTCATTTATTGACTATTGGAGTCCTTCTGCACTTTCATAGGTTTTATTTTTTATCCTACCAGGTTGCAACTCATCATCCCCAAGTGGATTGGAAGAGCTAGATCCATTGACCAAAAGCAATGAACCATATATTATGATTTTATATCTGAAACAAAGATTGGCTGGCACTAGTAAAGTTTTAAAGTGGAGTGCAGTGTGCATATTATTGGCCAATTGTAGAGATCTGTTGTCTCTGTTGAAAGCATATTCTGGCAGTATGACTGATCTGAGCAGATTGATATTCCACTCTCATAAATTTTTTTTTTTTAGTTTTACTATTCATTTTTATCTTGGTATAAGTTCTATCCAGAAGACCCTTTAACTTCTGGATCTATCACCCCAGTTTCCACCCCACAATGCTAAAATTAAGTGACTTTGACCTCCCCCCCCCAATAAGTTAAATAGAAAGCCATGAAAAAAGGTGGTAAAATTTTAAACTTTTCTTAACTCTTTCTCTATCAATCTAAGGATTTTTTTTCATGTTTTATATTTTGTATAATAACAATATTATTTTTTAATACTTCACTTGCAAACCATTTGTTTTGTATTATGATTTTCCTTTAATTATTCTTGTATGCAAAATATTTGGCAGATAAAATATAAGTAGGCTTCCTAAGTTTATTGTAGCAGCTTATATTTCGGGCATCCTGTGAGGTAAAGAGCTAATCACAAGCATTATTTTTTCATTGTCAAGTCCATTACTGTTTAGATAGCCATTGCTAATCAATGATTTTTAACACTAATTTACTGGGCATTTCAATATAGACAGAGAAAAATAAAATTTTTATTTATTATTATAAATTATAGACCTTTCTTCTTTTTTTTTTTTTAAATTAAATCATATTTTAAATCATTCCTATTTCAATTCTTTTGGGCTAAAATTAATTTAATAGTGAATGTGTTCTCAGAAAAAATTATCCTACTGTAAAACAAATGCTTAATAATAAGTGTGTATATTTTTGAATATATGCCTTTGTATGCACACAAATTGACAGTAATTCTTTTCAGTTAATGTATATATATATATATAAACCCAAATTTAATTTTTGGCTTGGCTTTGTTGCATGTCAAACAATTTAATCAACAATTTGTATAAATCAACAATATAAAACAAAAACCTTGAATTCCTCAAATCAAAACTGGAATTAGTTTCTGATGGAATATGTGATGGAAAATTTAAAAAAAAAAAAAAAATAGAGGGAAAATACTTAAATGAGTAAATATGAATAAATTTCAAAGAAATACTGTAAAAGTTATCAATTCAAATCCCACTTCCCCAAATCATTTTAAGGGCGTTTTTGTCATGCTGATAACTTTTGAGCACTTCTTATTAGCATTTCAGAAATTTGCAAATATGATTTTAAAAAAAAGGAATGTGCAGACCATATTTATAACATTGTATTTTTAAATAAAATCAACTCATAGTGGAAACCCTGATAAAGGTAATATAGAAATTGTTGTTTTTTTACAAGTAAATTTAAGTGATTGACAATTATTATTTCTGGGTGTTTGAAGTTTGTGCTTAAATTGAAATTATCATAGCACTAATAGAAAAATCAACTCCTTGAAAAATATTAGTTCACATTGCTCTAATATCATCACTTGCATTTTTATGTTCTTACCTTTCATACTCAATACAGCAACATACTAAAATGAATACTTACTTTTATATAATCACTTGTAGATATTATAATATTGTTTGTATCTTTAATAGATATTTACCTTCCATTACAATTGAATATATTCTTTAAAATTTCAATATAGGATAATAATGTAGCATATAATTCTGTTCCCTTGCAATTTCAGTCAAATTTTCAAAAAACCTGATCAGTTTTAATTTTGACTGGTTTTTCTTTCATCTAATTTCTTTTGGGTTTTATCACAACTCTGACATTGTTATTCTACATTAAGTAAGCAGTGTTAATCAGAAGTAAATAAACCTCCGAGACTTGAATTTGTATACCTTATCCTTGAGAGCCTGTCTTCCTACTTAATTCCGCTTCTCTTTTTCTCTTTTATTTCTTTATTTTTAATACTACTTTCTCATTATTTAATATAATGATATATTGATGCATGTTTCATTAAATAATATAGACAAGTTTTGTCTATTTATTTTAAGTAAGTTCCTTTCATATTGTCTGATAAGCTTAATAACATTATCATTGAAAGACGAAAGGAAATCACCATATTGATACAGGTTTAAATCCTATCTAACACGAGTTAGTCGTTGCTTTGAAATTTTTCATGCAACGAAAACAGACTATCATTATTGTTTCGTCCATGTATTGTTTTGATATATTGAAATGTAATTGTCATCTTTGATAATGGCTTCTGTAAGCTGAAAGCTTAAATAGGATTTAAACATGTATCAATATGGTGATGGTGATTTTCTGTTGTCTTTCAATGATAATGTTATTAAACTTATCAGACAATATGAAAGGAACTTACTTAAAATAAATAGACAAAACTTGTCTCTATTATTTAATGAAACATGCATCAATGAAAAATTGTTGCCTAAATATACACAATATATATATATATATATATATATATATATATATATTAAATAAAACAGACCACTTTAAGGTTCCATTTAATAAATTATTTCACCACAGGCCTTTTAAAGGACTGCGGATCATCAGACTTTACATTGAACTCTCTGGATTTTATCCTCCTTAGGTTTGCCCATATGGATTACCTAGTTTTTCATAAACTATATATATATATATATATATATATATATATATATATATATATATATATATATATATATATACTAAAACTATTGAAATATTTTTGAATATTTTCTTTTTCCTTCTCTTTTTTTCCACATTCTTTTCTATTCCTCTATCTTACTCTTTCTAATGTTCTTGTGTGAAATTGTTTTTCTCTTATTTTCCAATCATAACTTTAAAAAAAATCTTAGTTCATCAAAGAGTATGCAATTAAGTGAACTGTCCTTTCTTTGACTATTTCTTTGTATTTTCATTTTATATATTTACAAGTCTACCATTAAAAAATGACAGCATATTTAAGTAATTTTACATTTGTAATTATAAAAATCACAAACCTTTTTGTATATGTAACATTTCTACTATGTTACCAGAAGTGTGTCTGACTCATTTAGTGATGTATAAAAGTGTTATACATAAAACTATATCAATATACATTGTTTTATGTCGCTATAATATATTAACAAAATTCACATAATTGATTTGTTTATTAAATATTTTTAATTTATTTTCACCCTTTCTATGATCCTAATTGTAAGTTTTCATTAATATAAATAACGTTTGATTTTTACCTATTTATTTTTTCTTATTTTTACAGGTCCCAACTCTACAACTGATCCTAGTGATGATGAGGCTTTTGCCTCAGACAGACAGGTATTTTATTTTTCACATTTATTTTGCAGGCCTTTATTGTTGTTCTGCACTTATAAGTTTTTGTACCTTTTCACCTCTGACTCCTTTCAGCACCTTTTGATGTTGTCAGTTACTAATTTGCTGAAATAACTAAAATGGCCTGAATACTGTAAACAGCAACATATTTAAAAACATAAATATTTAAGAAATTTTATAATTGATGAATATTTAAGTTATTTGCTTCCACTAATAATTAAAATTGTTTTTATATTTATAGGATCATCATATTTCATTTTCATTCAAATAAATTAACATTTTTAAGCTGATTTGTGTGTATTTTAATAACTGTGGACTAAGTTGAAATTGTCTTGTTATCTGTTAATTTGATTTGATACAATTTTTTGTATTAAAAATGAAATGTTATTCTAAAATTTTTGCATATAAATATTTTTTTATCTGATTATATCAATACTATAATATATTTTACATTTTCCCCATTCTTGAAATGGCAGTCTGCATGGTGCACCTGTTAATTGAGAACAAATTATAATATAAAGAAAAACATTCTAAGAAAAAAATCTGTATATTTAAAAAAATTGTACACATGTTCAGTTTAGAAAAACAAGAAAAAGGGGTACTGAATAAACTGCCCTCACCCTTGAGGATGGCTTTGATGTTGCCTTGGAAGTGACTGCATATCCAGATCAAATGGTCCTCATTAATATTGATCATTATATCTATGATGGCAACCTTTTAACAAATTGTTGATTATGAAGACCACTAGCTGGTCACTTCCTCAATGATGCCCCAGATGTAATAGTCCAAGGTATTCAAATTAGGAAAGCTTGGTAGTCACATGATCATGAAGATATAGGCCATTTGCAAAAGATCAGTCCTGCTGGAACACATGGTTTCACTCTCATTTCAGGTTTGACCACAATGTCTAGTATCTTGATGTAGGTGGTGGCATTAATCCTCAGGCCCTGTGAGAAAAAGTGTAATGGTATGATATGGCTCTCATTGCACGGGGCCATCAGAGACTATTTGACTTTGTGTTCATCAGTGTGGGTACTGCCATAGGGTCAACACCAGACTTGCTGTTATTCCATTACCTGTGTCAGATTGGAAGCTGCCATGTTAATGCTCTTGATATATCTGAAAAGGAAATGAGAATGTCAAAATTTGGTGCATGACACATTAGGTCATCTTACATTTATGGCCTGTTAAAGGCATTTTCTGAAATATCAGGTGTATCTCTGTACAATTCAGTTTTGAATAATTTTTTAACTGTAACAAACATGTTTGCAATGTTCATGCCTTTCTGATTTTAATTAAAACAAATTGCTTGTCTTGTTAAAATGTAATCATCTTTTTCTTTGCTTTTATCGATAACAAATTGTGTGGTGAAATTGACAAACCAAACTTTAACTTTTTCTATTGAAAACTTTATGTAAGACTTTGGGAATACTGTTGATGGTGTTAATGGGAACTTGAGAGTGGAATTGTGTTATGACAGTATTGTAAACACAATTGAAAGAAGAGAAGTGTTTGTACTATCCAATCATCATATATTGTTCACTGCTATTTTTTGTCCATAAAGTAACTTCATTGAATTAGTGTTATGCTAAGGGACTTACTTGTATAGCACCTTTACAAGTGACATTTGCCAGAATGAAGTCATGTTACCAGCTGACATTTTACCTATTGTGGTTGCCAAACATTCTTGTACATCAACATTTGCATTTAAAAAAAACATTTGTGAAGTTTATGATTTTCCCCTCTTTTCTTTTCTTTTATAGTTCCTTGTTTTATGTGTCAATTTATAAGATACAGCAAAAGTAATTCATTTGCTCTATAAGCCTGAGATCAACCTACAGGAAAATATAGCTGATCATTAATTTATTTACACCATAACAATTGTAATTATGAAGAAAAAATGTTAACTTGTAGGAATTGTAGCCACATTTTATGCAAGTATTTTAATGGAATATACCTGTAGAATTTGTTCAGCTTTTTCAAATCTTTTGGTTTGTCATCATGAGTCATATGTAGGGCATTTCCATTAACTGAAAGTTACTCCAATTAAAAGAAATTAAACATTGCTATCATTTGCATCACCATTTTATGTAAAATGGTTGACATTTAATGCAATCAAAATGCTAACAAAATACAAAGAATGTCAATAAAAAAACAAACTCTTGAAATGGCAACTCTTAATTAGGAATGCAAATATTGATATGCTCTTATTGTAGTGACTGAAATTTAAAATGTCCTCCTTGCAATCTCAATTGTTCAAATATTGACTTGAAATTTAGACAGTCTAGTTTTGAATGTTTAATCCTGTTGAAGAGAAATATTGGTTACACTGGAAAAAACAAAATGTTCTTACTGCAGTGATAGTTGTGGCATTGTTTTGTCAGTATTGCCCAAAGAGGCATAAATAAAAGTTCATTTAAGAGAAGGAACATTTCATTTTAATGTTATTTCTTCAAATAATTTATAAGTTTTTAATACATATCAGTTCATCTAGGGGGAAAGAAATTAACTTTAAACCATTACCAAAAAAGTTTTTCTATCTGATTGGCTTAAAAAATGTCTTTTCACTCACACAATTTGAAATTGGTTTTCATTATTCACCAATATATATATATATATATATATATATATAATGGTGGGCCTTTTTGTATTTTTAGTTGTGTGAACAATTCACTCTTGTTCAAATAAGTAATTGTACTTTTTGTTTAAAAAGAAAAATTTATAAACAAACACAAATTATTTAAACAAGAGCAGAATTGGTGGCTTCTTTTGTATTTTTATTTGTAAATTTTTGTTTTTCTTTCCCTTGCACTATTGCGTTCTTACAAACTGCAGTGGCTTCCGGCATTTCTTTAAGCAATTTTGGGCTTTTTAAAAAATACTGACCTCACAAAAGAAAATTAACAATATTAAGAATTTACTTTAAAATATGCATTAAATTTCTAAAATTTTGCACAACACTTTCTTTTAAAATCAAAACAAACATTTTATGACTATCTTTAAAATTCCTGTTTCTTTTTGCAACCTTGATTTTACTTGTGATACTACTTCCCTGTAATATTTGTTAAATTTTAAAAAATTAATTTTCTTTAATTTTAATTTTGGTGAGTTTGATTAATTTGATAATTATTTTCTATAGTGTTATAAAAAAAATACAGAATATCTCCTAATATTTTAACATTTTCAGGATATTATTAAAATCACTATGAATCACTAATGAATATATTTCATTTGTTACAGTGATCTTGATAAACTCAAATTTACTGTTTCTAAAGTTTACACTAGGTATTCATCATGGTTATCAACAAATAATATAATAAACATGATTTTCTCTTTTAGCCTTAACCCTAAAAACTGACAGAAAAAGTTTGCACAAATATGTACTGTAAATGGGTAAGATATAAGAAAAGTAATTTTTTAAGGGGTAGTTTTTATTTTTGCTTTAATTTTATACAAAAACTATAAAAGTGATTTTAAAACTGTCTTTGATTATAAAAATAAAGAAAAAAAAGGTATTTAAACAGATATTAGGTTCCTAAATTTATTTTTTTTAACAGTATATTCTTTGAAGCATTTCATGCGCGATAGAGTTGTGCATTCTTTGCACCAAGTTGTTATCATTTTTTTGACACTTTTCTCTTTGAGAAGAATACATGCAGACATAGCACTGTCTTTGGGATGTTCTTCCAATTTTATTTTCAGGCAAATACTTCAGGAAATGATGTAACCCCATGAATCCTAGTGTTGCCAATTAATCATTTAAACTTGAATCCTGAATGAATGATGCCCGAATCATTGGAAAATGTTTAGATAATCAATTGATTATATCTGTTGGTCTCCAATGAAACATCAGTTGATGATTCAGGCTGTTTAAGGGTTAATTAAGAATGAGTGGACATAACTCACTTTTAATCAATTTACAAATGACAATCCTATTCTCAAATTGACATGACTTAATATCAAAAGCTTTCCACCTTTCACATAAAACTTTGTCAGATGTATTTTAGACATTCTTCTCATGATATTCCAGGGCTTTAAGGCTAGATTTAAAACATTTTACTGAAGGATTCGGCCCATAAAAAAGGTTTTACTGGTATAAAATGCAAATAGCAAGTATTTCAATATATTTAGAAATTGTCAAAGAATAATATATCAAAATCATATTGTTCCCTAACTGAGATCAGAACTTTCAAAAAAAAAAAGAATGTATAAAAGAAAGTTTAGAAAACTTTGGTTTAGATGATCAGGGTACCATACCGGGTCCTTCATGGCATTTCTCAGGGCAATGGAGATTACCTAGTAGTGTTCATCTTCTCCTCAAATAACATATGACAGTTTTTACTGGGTTTACATGGTGCAAACAGTAGGGAGTAATCCTTGATCTAATGAGAGACCTTTTACAAGGTAAAATTAGTATGAAATGAACACAAATTTGCTCAGCCAGACTTTGTACTCAATTTGCAGATTCCATACCTCCAAAGAATAAAATAACTTTATCTTTGAATAGTGTGTCAACATTTATGCTTTCACTTAGTTAAAAAATATTCAAAAGTTCAAGTCCATCCTAAATGTAATCCTGGGTATGACAAGAAACAACATCCAGCAGCAAAGCCTCTGATCTGGAAATTTTCAGAAGTGTGGAACCATCTCTTAATTGCTTTTGTTGCCAGGTCCACTGAGTGGTAGCACTTGTAGGGTCCCAACTATGAGCAAATAGTGAACCCTCAAACAAAAATCAAAACACTAGGAAAGTATAAAAATGCAAGCAATACATTTTTTTAAAACAATTTACTAGGTATACATTTTTGTAGTGAAATTACCAGCAACACATTATTAAAAAATAAAATAAAAATAACTAATACATTTTTATAATAAAATTGAAAACCTGACATAGATTTTCAAAAAAAGAAAAAATTTGCTATGATTAATCTCATTTCTTGGAAGGAGAAACAAATTTTCACTCCTCATTTGATTTTGTAAGATTA